TCTTAGATAAATATGGTAATTTATTTGGTTTTCAAATATATGGGACGGGTTTAGACCCTGGGACAATATTGTTTATAGGGATAGAGACTGATACGGTAACCTCCCAAACTCATCAAGTATACCATTCCTTTTATGAAGAGATGAGCATAGATAATAAGATCCCCCATAATGCTAAAAACTTGTTCATTGATTTAGCCGAAAGTATTGCCGGTAGTCTTAATGTTACCAACTGCTATGTGTGTGGAGGTACTAACATGGGAGACCAATGGCCTTGGGAAGCAAAGGAGGTAATGTCCGGTTCTGAGGCAGTTGACCACTTAATATCTACACAAGCCGACTATCATATGAGTGTTAGAGGTAAATCTGAGTGGAGATTGAAGACCTCCATCATAGGTTATGTTTGCATAGCGAGGAAAGGAATGATGTATAATACTTCTGTAGGAGAATTAACTTGTCTAGGACAAAAAGTTTATGATGATGATACAAAGAATACAACTTGGTGGTCGGCTTCAAATGTCTCAGAACCATCTAACCCGTTTGCAAGATATGCCAATTTAAAGGACGTATGGTTTGATCTATCCATCACATCTAACTGGAGAGCCCCAGCGAATTTGTAGTGGATCTGTGGTAAGAAGGCCTATTCGGAGTTACCACAGGACTGGGAAGGGGCATGTGTGTTGGGTATGTTGAAACCATCCTTCTTCTTGTTGCCTATTGAAACAGGTGAGACTTTAGGTGTTAAAGTATATGATGTGAATCATAGGAAGAAAAGGGGACCCATAGAGATAGGTGCCTGGGAAGATAATGAATGGCCTCCCCAGCGTATTATAGATTATTATGGGCCAGCCACGTGGGCAGAGGATGGTACCTTTGGTTATAGAACCTCTATTTATATGCTCAACCGCATTATAAGGTTACAGGCGGTGGTTGAGATCATTACTAACGAGACATCACAAGCGCTCAATCTTCTAGCGAAGCATAATACCAGGATGAGGACAGCAGTTTACCAAAAAAGATTAGCCTTGGATTATCTTTTGGCAGTAGAGGGAGGTGTATGTGGGAAGTTTAACCTGAGCAATTGCTGTCTTCAAATAGATGACGAAGGGCAAGGAATAGCTGAGCTTACTAGCCATATGGTTAAACTAGCGCATGTGCCTACTCAGGTATGGAAAGGGTACAATCCAAGTAGTTGGTTTGGTAGCTGGTATGAGTGGTTTGGAGGGCTTAAGGCAGTGGTAGGTGGAGTCCTACTGATTTTAATGTTGTGTCTACTCCCGCCGTGTCTTATACCCTTAGTAGTTAGGTCTGTGCAAAGCCTGATAGAAAATATAGCAGAGAGGAAGGCTGCTGCACAGATAATGGCAATTTATAAATATAAGGCTCTAGATCAGGGAGAACCAATGCAGGAAGACGAGTGTTGAAGATTCATATCATAGGATAAGTCTGGTCTGGTTCAAAGGTAACTTGTGGTGTATGCAAACCAAGGTTAAGTGATGCCTCAAGTAATTGTAAAATATCAAGAGGCATCAAAGGGGGGAATGTGGTGGAATCTCAGTAAAAATAAATTTAGTAGGCCGAGATTACCACGTGGCATGTGTACGTGCATATGCTGACGTATCGATCAGTTGGTTGCACGAGGCAAGATACGATCAGTAGTGTATGGAGCATGTGCAAGAATACAGGATGTAGTATTCCCCTCCTCCATTGTGCTGGACAAGCCATGCGGTCAAGCAGGAAGTTAATTCTTATTTGTAAATGATTGGTCAAGAGAATGTGCGGGTGGAGCTTAATATGGGAGGAGTTATGTGCCTATATAGGGAGCCTGCACTATTGTTCAGGGCTCAGAACTTGCTGTATTTTTGGTGACATTAGTCCCTCTGAGTCCCGATCGGTGATCCAATAAAGAATCTCTTCCTTCCTGAAGAAACCTGTGTCCATCTCTCTGTGCTTTGCTTCTGTCAGTTTCTCCGGTATCAGTAACAGAGGGATTGAGGCCCTGCTCAGTGAGTTTACATGTTAGAGGGAGTGGGGTATAGTGACACAGTAACAGAGGGATTGAGGGCCTGCTCAGTGAGTTTACGTGTTAGAGGGAGTGGGGTATAGTGACACAGTAACAGAGGGATTGAGTGCCTGCTGAGTGAGTTTACATGATAGAGGGAGTGGGGTATAGTGACACAGTAACAGAGGGATTGAGGGCCCTGCTCAGTGAGTTTACATGTTAGAGGGAGTGGGGTATAGTGACACAGTAACAGAGGGATTGAGGGCCTGCTCAGTGAGTTTACATGTTAGAGAGAGTGGGGTATAGTGACAGTAACAGAGGGATTGAGGGCCTGCTCAGTGAGTTTACATGCTAGAGGGAGTGGGGTATAGTCAGGGCCGTCTTTAACGCGGGGCAAACGGGGCAGCTGCCCCGGGCCCAGTTACTCCTGGGGGGCCCAAAGCAGCTGCCCCGTGGCCCCACCGCCCATCGCCTGCATAAGAAAAATTCCCTCCCCATCCATAGGCCCGCGGTGCTTGTATTGCGGCCCATCGGGTGGCCAATACACTTAGGGCCACCCGGTGAGCACGTTTCAGCTGTGGCCCTTTAACAGCACGACCGGGCCCTCTGATTTACGGCAGCATGGGAGGAAGTGACGTCGGTGAGTCACTTCCTCCCTCTGAGATGATGAGCCGCGCAGGAGGGAGGCTGAGCCAGGAGGCAGCGAGATGGGGGACTGAGCAAGGAGAGCCAGTCCCCAACTCCCAACCACCCAAGGCAGCACACTGGATCCCAGGGAAGGTAGGAAACTGGAGGGGGCTTTACAGTTTGCATATTATGTCAGTATGTGTGTGTTTATGTCAGTAGGTCTGTGTGTGTGTCAGTCACTATGTCTGTGTGTGTCTGTCAGTAGGTCTGTGTGTGTGTGTGTTAGTATGTCTGTGTGTGTCTATTAGTAGGTCTGTGTGTGTCTGTTAGTATGTCTGTGTGTGTCTGCCTGTCAGTAGGTCTGTGTGTGTGTGTGTGTGTGTGTCTGTTAGTATGTCTCTGTGTGTGTGTGCCTGTCAGTAGGTCTGTGTGTGTGTGTGTGTGCCTGTCAGTAGGTCTGTGTGTGTGTGTGCCTGTCAGTAGGTCTGTGTGTGTGTGTGTGTGTCTGTCAGTGTGTTTGGGTGTCAGTATGCCTGTGTGTGTCAGTATGTCTGTGTGTGTGCCACTATGTCTGTCTGGGTGTGTGGTAGTATGTGTCTGTGTGTGCCAGTATGTCTGTCAGTTTATGTGTCTGTGTAAGTATGTCTGTCAGTTTGTATACATATAATCTGTGTGTGTATATGTGCATACATCTCAGCATTCACACACTAACACTACATACAAACACACCCTTGCATTCAAAAACCAACACTACACATAAATACATGCTTGCAAGTACACCAACACCACATACAAACTTATTTTACAAAAAAACCTGTTTACATTCAAACACACAAAAACAGCGTTGTGCTAAATACAAACCTTCAAACATGGGTAAATGGTAGAGCCACAGCTGTCAATGCATTGCTGAAGTTGCACAACAGATGGGGAACTACCTTCTAATCACCCGTGCGATAGGGAGGCTCAAAAAAATTCTTGCACCGCTCTACTTTAGGTCTGCCTCTGCGTTGGGGTGGAGGACATGATTGCACACCTGGCGAGGGTACCAGGGGGCCCAAGCAAATGCTTTGCCCAGGGTCCAATCAATATTAAAGACGGCCCTGGGTATAGTGACAGTAACAGAGGGATTGGGGGCCTTGCTCAGTGAGTTTACATGTTAGAGGGAGTGGGGTATAGTGACACAGTAACAGAGGGATTGAGGGCCCTGCTCAGTGAGTTTACATGCTAGACGGAGTGGGGTATAGTGACACAGTAACAGAGGGATTGAGGGCCTGCTCAGTGAGCTTACATGTTAGAGGGAGTGGGGTATAGTGACACAGTAACAGAGGGATTGAGGGCTCTGCTCAGTGAGTTTACATGTTAGAGGGAGTGAGGTATAGTGACACGGTAACAGAGGGATTGAGGGCCTGCTCAGTGAGTTTACATGTTAGAGGGAGTGGGGTATAGTGACACAGTAACAGAGGGATTGAGGGCCTGCTCAGTGAGCTTACATGTTAGAGGATGTGGGGTATAGTGACACAGTAACAGAGGGATTGAGGGCCCTGCTCAGTGAGTTTACATGTTAGAGGGAGTGGGGTATAGTGACACAGTAACAGAGGGATTGAGGGCCTGCTCAGTGAGTTTACATGTTGGTGGGAGTGGGGTATAGTGACACAGTAACAGAGGGATTGAGGGCCCTGCTCAGTGAGTTTACATGTTAGAGGGAGTGGGGTATAGTGACACAGTAACAGAGGGATTGAGGGGCCTGCTCAGTGAGGTTTTACATGTTAGAGTGGGGTATAGTGACACAGTAACAGAGGGATTGAGGGCCTGCTCAGTGAGTTTACATGTTAGAGGGAGTGAGGTATAGTGACACAGTAACAGAGGGATTGAGGGCATGCTCAGTGAGTTTACATGTTAGAGGGAGTGGGGTATAGTGACACAGTAACAGAGGGATTGAGGGCATGCTCAGTGAGTTTACATGTTAGAGGGAGTGGGGTATAGTGACACAGTAACAGAGGGATTGAGGCCCTGCTCAGTGAGTTTACATGTTAGAGGGAGTGGGGTATAGTGACACAGTAACAGAGGGATTGAGGTCCTGCTCAGTGAGTTTACATGTTAGAGGGAGTGGGGTATAGTGACCGTAACAGAGGGATTGAGGGCCGTGCTCAGTGAGTTTACATGTTAGAGGGAGTGGGGTATAGTGACACAGTAACAGAGGGATTGAGGGCCTGCTCAGTGAGTTTACATGCTAGAGGGAGTGGGGTATAGTGACAGTAGCAGAGGGATTGAGGGCCCTGCTCAGTGAGTTTACATGTTAGAGGGAGTGGGATATAGTGACACAGTAATAGAGGGATTGAGGCCCCTGCTCAGTGAGTTTACATATTAGAGGGAGTGGGGTATAGCGACACAGTAACAGAGGGATTGAGGGCCTGCTCAGTGAGTTTACATGTTAGAGGGAGTGGGGTATAGTGACACAGTAACAGAAGGATTGAGGGTCCTGCTCAGTGAGTTTACATGTTAGAGGGAGTGGGGTATAGTGACACAGTAACAGAGGGATTGAGGGCCCTGCTCAGTGAGTTTACATGTTAAAGTGAGTGGGGTATAGTGGCACAGTAACAGAGGGATTGAGGGCCTGCTCAATGAGCTTACATGTTAGATGGAGTGGGGTATAGTGACACAGTAACAGAGGGATTGAGGGCCCTGCTCAGTGAGTTTACATGCTAGAGGGAGCGGGGTATAGTGACACAGTAACAGAGGGATTGAGGGGCCCTGCTCAGTGAGTTTACATGTTAGAGGGAGTGGGGTATAGTGACACAGTAACAGAGGGATTGAGGGCCCTGCTCAGTGGGTTTACATGTTAGAGGGAGTGGGGTATAGTGACACAGTAACAGAGGGATTGAGGGCCTGCTCAGTGAGCTTACATGTTAGAGGGAGTGGGGTATAGTGACACATTAACAGAGGGATTGAGGCCCTGCTCAGTGAGTTTTGCCATGTGTGGGAAATTGGGGTATAGTGACACAGTAACAGAGGATTGAGGGTCCTGCTCAGTGAGGTTTACATGTTAGAGGGAGTGAGGCTATAGTGACACAGTAACAGAGGATTGAGGGGTCCTGCTCAGTGAGTTTACATGTTAGAGTGAGTGGGGTATAGTGACACAGTAACAGAGGGATCGAGGGTCCTGCTCAGTGAGTTTACATGTTAGAGGGAGTGGGGTATAGTGACACAGTAACAGAGGGATTGAGGGCCTGCTCGGTGAGTTTACATGTTAGAGGGAGTGAGGTATAGTGACACAGTAACAGAGGGATTGAGGGCACTGCTCAGTGAGTTTACATGTTAGAGGGAGTGGGGTATAGTGACAGTAACAGAGGGATTGAGGGCCTGCTCAGTGAGTTTACATGTTAGAGGGAGTGGGGTATAGTGACAGTAACAGAGGGATTGAGGGCACTGCTCAGTGAGTTTACATGTTAGAGGGAGTGGGGTATAGTGACAGTAACAGAGGGATTGAGGGCACTGCTCAGTGAGTTTACATGTTAGAGGGAGTGGGGTATAGTGACACAGTAACAGAGGAATTGAGGACCTGCTCAGTGAGTTTACATGCTAGAGGGAATGGGGTATAGTGACACAGTAACAGAGGGATTGAGGCCCTGCTCAGTGAGGTTACATGTTAGAGGGAGTGGGGTATAGTGACACAGTAACAGAGGGATTGAGGGCCCTGCTCAGTGAGTTTACATGTTAGAGGGAGTGGGGTATAGTGACACAGTAACAGAGGGACTGAGGCCCTGCTCAGTGAGTTTACATGTTAGAGGGAGTGGGGTATAGTGACAGTAACAGAGGGATTGAGGGGCCTGCTCAGTGAGTTTACATGCTAGAGGGAGTGGGGTATAGTGACACAGTAACAGAGGGATTGGGGGCCTGCTCAGTGAGTTTACATGTTAGAGGGAGTGGGGTATAGTGACACAGTAACAGAGGGATTGAGGGCCTGCTCAGTGAGTTTACATGCTAGAGGGAGTGGGGTATAGTGACACAGTAACAGAGGGATTGAGGGTCCTGCTCAGTGAGGTTACATGTTAGAGGGAGTGGGGTATAGTGACACAGTAACAGAGGGGTTGAGTGCCCTGCTCAATGAGCTTACATGCTAGAGGGATTGGGGTAAAGTGACACAAAAGGTAAGGATAGTATTAGACTTGTGACAGTTGCAAGAGCGGAATCAGTCAGGAGCTATTTACAGTTTAATTGATATGCTTTTATGAAGAAGTGGATTTTTTAATGATTTTTTGAAGGAATGGAGACTGGGTGAGCATCTAACGGAGGATGGAAGCAAGTTCCACAGGAACGGTGCAGCCCTCGAGAAATCTTGAAGGCGAGCATCAGAGGTGGGAGTACGGACAGAAGATAGACATAAGTCTTTTGCAGATCGTAAGGGCCTAGACAGGACATACTTGTGTATAAGGGAGGATAGGCAGGTGTGAAGAGGATTATGTAGCGATTTGAAAGCAAGAACCAGAATTTTAAATTGAGCTCTATATTTTATAGGAAGCCAATGTAGGGACTGATAGAAGGGTGAGGCATGGGAGGTGCGGGCGGACAGGAAGATGAGCCTCGCCGCCGCATTCATTATGGACTGTAACGGCGCTAGTTGGGAGCACGTAAGACCACTGAGAAGCGGATTACAGTAGTCAAGGCGAGGAAGGACAGTTGAATGGACCAACACGTTAGTCGCATCTGGCGTTAAGTAGGGGCGGATGTGCGCAATGTTTTTTAGATGGAAATGACAGGATTTGGCGATAGATTGAACATGAGGCTTGAAGGAGAGGTCGGAGTCAAAGAGAACACCTAGGCAGCGAGCCTGCATGGTGGAGCTGATGGTAGCACCGTTGACTTGGAGGGAGACAGACACAGGAGTAACAACACTTGAGGGAGAAAAGACCAGAATTTCAGTTTTGGTCAAATTTAGTTTTAGGAAGTGGGCAGCCATCCAGTTAGAAACAGCAGAGAGGCAGTCAGAGACACTAGTCAAGAGGGACGGGGAGAGATCAGGAGAGGACAGGTAGATTTGCGTGTCATCTGCATAGAAATGATATTGGAAGCCAAAGGAGCTAATGAGTTTACCAAGGGAGGCAGTATAGATGGAGAACAGTAGGGGACCAAGGACTGAACCTTGGGGGACACCAACAGAGAGGAGTTGGGGAGAAGAAGCAGAGCCAGAGAAAGAAACACTGAAAGAGCTATTATAATAATAATAATATAATGTAATAATGCCAAGAGCTATATAATAATAAAATAATATATTAATACCTATATAATAATATAATGATACCTATATAATAATATATTAATACATATGTATTAATACCTATTTAATAATACATATATAATAATATAGTAATACCGATTATAATAATATCTATATAATAATATATTATATAAATACCCAGAGTAATATATAATACTACCTAGATCTATATAATACTATAATAATTCCCAGATCTATAAAATAATATATTAATTAATAACCAGGCAATATAATATATTAATACCCAGAGCTATATAATTAATAACCAGGTAAAATAATATATTAATACTTAGATCTATATAATAATATATTAATTAATAGCCAGGCAATGTAATATACTAATACTTAGAGCTATATAATAATATATTTATTAATAATCAGGCATTATAATTCACTAATATCCAGAGCTATATGATAATAGTCTTTTATGACATGTCGTTGTGGTCCGCTAAAACTTTAACAAGATCGCTCTCTGTCTCAGAACCAGCAATCAGGGCACTTTTTGTAGGGTTAACAGAGGGATTGGTGAGGCATCGAATGACACCAAGGAGTTGGGGGAACTCCATGTACCCACAGAAAGTGCTGCCTTTTTAGTTAACTAAGATCTCTACCCAGCACTCTGGAACTCTGCGCTGGATCAGCTGAAACTTGTACTTCCATCTAACTCAGGCAAGCCACATCTGATCCAGGCGCTGTTTGGACAGCATGGACGCTCCGGAGAGACCTTTCCAGGGATGTGTCACTGGTGGGGTGGTGGGCATAGGAACTATGTTTTTGTTAACCCAGTGCTAAGATGTTCGGCCAGCTCAGGCACAGACACCAAGGCTCCGGATACGTCACAATCTATGCTACTTGGGGACCTCCTGTTGAGACCCCAGGTGTATAAGGTGGCAATTATATTAATACCCAAGGCAGGACTTTAGCCTGGTATTAATATAATGGACTCGGTATAAGAAGAAAGCACCCAGCCTTGAGTGCTCCCGACCCCGCGGCAAAAAAACTTTAAGCTAATTAAAATGTTATTAAAGTACACGGAGGCTCATATTAGGCTTATTGTCTTTCTTTTATTCCTCAGCAGCAAAAATATTTATTTTAGAGAAACAAATGAAACATGTAAACATGCCCCAAAGGGTTAATCCTATAACAGAACAACCAATCATAACGCCTCCAGGACCATCAACTCCCCATGTGACCTTAACCCACTCCTCTTTCTTGCTGCTACCTTCCTCAGCGAAGTACATTTATATTTTTCTCTGTATGCTACCAATGTGTTTGTCATATTTATTGTTTTTTGATGTGGCATTTGAGTTTTTATTTGTTTATTTCTGTCTGTTGCAGGGCTTCAGGACTTTGTTTCCAGCTGGCTCTTGGTTGTTCCTTAACCTTAGAGCCCATCCCTCACCCCTCCGTCCCCTCCCATCTCTTACTCAGTCAGGTGGATTATCACCTACTGAGCTAGAGCGGCTAGCAGCTCTCCGTGCCGAGGCTTTTACCGCCCAGTCTAATTCAGTGCCTCAGAGGTTTCCTCTGGGCTTCCCGGTTCGCAGCTATAACCGCGGTTGGCGCCGTTCGCGCAGGCGCACAGCACTAGTGCGCATCACGGCGGCCATCTTGCGGTTGGCGTTTTTGTTCCCAGGCTTTTTTGAGCTTGTGGGGGCGGGAGTGGGTGCTAATTGGACAGCACAGTTGCTGGGCAGCTCACCACTGTCCCCAGGAGCCATTCCTGAGGGAACACTTGGTGAGCTTGCCTTTTTCATATTGCTGTCCAGTTTTTCTGGTACTTTGCTATAGTACCCATACTGCTGGTGCATTATTAGTACCCATATTGCCTATTAAGCTTTTTGCTTATCAGTGTGGTCATTCATTCCTACACCAGTAGTTATTTGGGTTCCCCCCTCTTTTCTCTGTCTCCCAATTTATATTTCCACCTACCATAACCACCATGAGAACTGCTATTTTAATTATGAAGTCTCAAAGGGATTTGGGCACAGCCTCTGGCGATTCTCCCATTAGGGCTAATATACCCC